TAACTGTAGTTTCAGTTATCATGTCTGTATCCATATTTGTGAGTGTAGAACGGTTCATTGTACAGTATGATATCACGGTCTTGCTGCTTTGCAAGCCCATTCTGCAAGCCACATGTAACTAATTTGTCCGCGCAATTAGTTCCAGTCCGAGGCGTTSTGCYGGTCGTCTTTGGTCACTAGTGCTTTTTSGACGCCTTGAGATTAGCGTTTTCATCTTGAAGAATTTTGAATTGTACAATTAACACTAGAAAAACAGCGAAGAGAAGTAAACAAAGAAAAATTGTTGTCTTCGTCATCAAAGATTGTTTTTTTTGAATTGTCACGAGCTCTGCTTTAAGTTTATTTACTTTGTCTTCGCTTTCATCTTGAAATCTCTCGAAGTCCTGTTGAAGTCTGGCAACTGTCATTTCGCTTATATCTTGGTGTATTGCGAAATCTGMTAGAAGAACTTTCAAKAAATTTACTTCACTATCATCTTGGTGTTTTGCAATCTCTGTTTCAAGTCTGGCCACTTTGTTTTCGTTTTTGACCAATCTCATTTTGTTTTCATCTTGTTGTTTCAAGAGCTGAGCTGTAAGTTCTTCTACTTGATTTTTGCTTTCATTTTTAAGTGTAATGAATCGTGACACTTGTTTATCGTGTTCATCTTGAAGTGWYATGAACTCTGCTTTAATAATGTCCAATCCCACTTTGTTTTCATCTTGTATTTCCAAGAGATGAGCTGTACAAAGTTCTTCTACTTGTTTTTTGCTTTCATCTTTAAGTGTCAAGAGTTGATTCGTCGTGATGGCAAGATGTTCTACCAGATTGTTTTTGTAATGATCACTTAAAGATTTTCTTGGTCCCTTGAAATAAAAAATCATCTGAAAAGGTYAATCGCCTATACAAAAATCAGTGTAGACTGGAAACGAGATTCTAACATTAATTTAATTAAGAAATAAACCTCATCACATTTGAAGTGCAAAAAAGTTGAACTTCATGCAACTGAAACTTACAAAACCTACAAAATGGTATGCAATATTTTACTGTAATGGGGTTAATTTCTAAATTAAGGTAATATTAGAGACTAGTACCGATTCCTCCATTTTTGTTTCTTCCGTGTCCATTTTGCAAATTAAATAGCTATATTATATGCTTCATTTTAGAGGATGTCAAAATACTTTTACCCCTCCTTTGACGCACAGAAAACACAAGATTCGGTAGAGGAAAACTAGTTTCGTCTTTGCTTAGACCCTTTCAAAATGAAGTTTAGAAACTCTTTTAAAAATCCTAGTACAACAATTATTAAGATATACTACATGCATTATATGATAAGGGTGATACCGTATAGGTACCTTAAAATTGCATCCGATATTGAGGTAATTGCAGGTTACAATTGTCATCGGACAGTCCATTTCGTGGTTCTGTGAAAAGCAGGAGTGAAAAAGCAACTTATTATGATCATCAGTCGATATGAGGTTATGAGGTATAATATTATGCGTCTTTCTCATACAGCAAAAGTCCGACTACACAATAATCTTCACCCAMAATGCAGAACCTGGATGTTTCTCAAAACATCACAGTGTTTGTTTTTCGGAATATCCATTACCGCGGGCAACTATCACAGCAAATTGCCCTTGATCCACATGCATAATATATACATATGAGGATTGACAGCACAAAAGGGAG